ACCAATGCATGGCAAAAAAAAATCCCTAATCCCTGGACACGGGATTTTTTTTTTCTGCCATATGTCTATTCTAGAGACATTTTGTTACACCTTTACTTAGTGATTATTTTGCCTTATGTCTGTTCTAGAGACATGTTACAGCTTTTTGATAAAGCTCTAATTGGTTTTCTGTTGGAAATATGTTTCAAATTCACACTGAATGCATTAATGACTGTAAAGCATGTCTGTGTGTGTCAAAATCATGATTAAAATCGAAATCGCAAAATTGATCAAAGAAATCGCGATAGGTTTTTTTTGTCCATATCGCACAGCCCTATTGCAATGTGATACTGTTTAGAACAAGAGCCACATTTAACTTGAACAACATTAAACTTTTAACCCTGAGCTTTTTGCAGACGTTTCAACCGTGTCATCCTTTAAGATATGCACGTTTTTGCTGAATCATCAAGAATAAAAAAAAGCACAAATTAACTTTGTCTAGGCAGATTTTGTTTCAAAAACAAAACAGCTTATATTGCTTTAACCCTCATGTTTTGTTCAGGTCATTTTGACCGAGAGGATTTTCTTTTTCCCGAAAATGCTAATTAATGTTGGATTAAAACCTACTGACTTTGCTTACAACTTCCCTAAAAATGTATCATTTTCTTTTTGGAAGTGAATGGTCATAATCCTCATTGATCTGAGTTTATGCACCTCTGATTTGAAATGAATAAGCCAAAATTATCCACAAATAATGTTTTGTTTTATTTACTCGTAAACTGAGGTGCATGAGCTCAGATCATTGAGGACTATAATCAGTTCCAAAAAGTAATACAAAACTTGTGCTAACTGAATGAAAACAAGTTGATTAAAAGATTGAATGTGTGATTTGGTGATAATTTCATAATGAGAGGTTTTTGACCTGGAACACCACATTACTGTAGGTAAAGGATTTTCAGCACAGCACAAGGGTTAAATCAAATGGTTTAGAAAAAATAGGTAAACCTCAAAAAAATTCCTCCTGCCAGATTATGCAATACTGGAAATTACCCATTGCAAACTGTGATTTATTTGTTTAAACGCCAAAAACTCTACTTCTGATGCCAAAACGGCTCCGTTTTTTTCCCATTTTGAAGGTCATTATGAATTATTTACCTGTGTAAATGGGCCAAATGTGCTCATGAGATTACAGCAAAATAAATATTTGCCTAAAAAAAAAGATGTAGAATAGTTTAATGAAAACACGTGTTGCATTTCCTCTCGTCCCATTGAAATACACACCTAACTGTCTGGAATCACCCTCTGAACTCAGTTAAAGGTTGTAATTATTAAACGAGAGGAATTTCCCCATTCATTCAGGTAGGAGGAGCGGAGACGCCTCGTCTTGGAGATCATTCAGAGCAGAAGTCTGTGTTTAAATGGTGCTCCTCTCTTTTCAGCTGATGTACAAGGATCCCATTGAGATAGGGTTTGATTGAGAAGGGATAAGCTCGTACCTCAGGCTTAACGTCTCCCATCTCAGATTCACTTCCTGGCTTTTGAAGTCTCTGTTTCTTTGAGTTCTTCGCCCTGAGCAACGGTCCACGACTCGAGTGAGATGTGATACGAGGGGTTTAACTTTTACAGCTGCCCCATAAGACCGATACAGATTGGCACGTTTGCTTTGAATGTTAAATAAATATAAACTTTATATATAAAATATAAAGTTTTCAGTGCTTTTTGTGCTTCATGCATCGCTACACTATTGACAATAGACATGTTTTGTCCACAAAATCTCGACAAAATTTCACTAATGTGACTGCACCTTTTGGCTTAGTGGTTTGTTCAAATCATTAACACTAAATATGAGGCTGTGAGCAAAAGTTGATCATTAAAACACAACAGTTCCCTGAGCAGAGGTCTCATAGTTTTAATAGTTGACCTCTTTCTAGTACAAACAGTAAAACATGCCTCAGTGTTTTGGGATTTCCATCGTGTCCTTACTCGGATGTGGGATGTTGAGTCATAATAAGCAACTCCTATTTCAACCACTTCACTGTGTTTATTGATATTTGCTTCAATGAAACGACACAACCGTGAGCTGAACTTTAAATCACGGTCTAGCGCTACCATAAAACATACATTCAGCTGAAGGCCACAAGAAACACCATGAAGAATCGTGAACATAAAAACCTCACGTCTTTTCATGTCTGTTGTTGAAGTTTCTGTAATATGGAAACGATCCTGATGTTCAGTTCTGTGGATCGTCTCCATGGTTTTATAAGCCCTCCTGCACAGTAGGTTCAACGTGCCGTTTCCTGTTTTCTGTGGGCCATTTGAGGGCTTGAGAGGGATGGTTCAGTGTGGGATTGTAAAACTGAAGCTTTAAATGGAGCGTAGCATAGAAAACAGTTCATTAAACTCCTGTTCAGGTGAATTACTATTTTCAATATTCAAAAACTTTTTTTGTGAGACATATTAAACCATAATAAATGTAATTATATATATATATATACACACACACACACACACACACACAGTGTAATATATTTATATTATATAGTATACAATTTATTAATGAAATATTAGAGTTTCAAAAAACAGAGTTATTTCATTTAATCCCATTACTGTGTAGAAGAAACAATTGAAATATAATAGAAAAAGTGTTGTTTGTCACTAAGCTTTTGAGAAAAAAATTTGATTGATTATTAAAATAAAGTAATAAAAACAGTAAATAAAAAATATATTAAATGAAACTAGTATTAGTGATAGTAATAGTGATAAATAAATAAATTTTACGTAATAAAATGTGTTGCGAATGTCATTTCTTGTTGACTTCAGGCTGACAACCAAACCTGGCCCAGAGAAACAACTGAGATATTAAAAATCTAGAATAAACAATTGCGATATTAAAAAGATCTCATTTGACTTTTTTCTTGTTTTCCAGGAAGCTTTCAAGGAAAAATCTGGCTGTAAATCTGGTTGTAATTTGGACTGTTGATATTTGTTTGCATGTTTGTTGTATCACATTCTTGTGTTTTAAATTAAAGCAGCTGAACGTCTCTCTGCTTGCTATTGGAAACGGGAAATGAGGAGAAAAGCAGTGAAAATTGAATAACACCCTGACAGAGTGACGTCCTACTGCAGTATATATACTGTATATAATATCTATACGTATATACTGTAGATATATGTACAGATAGAAAAAAACTGATCCTGCATGTAATTTGACATTGTTTGACATTGTTGTCGTTTAAAGCAGCAACTGACTGAAAGCGCTGCTCACAACTAATAACAAAGCATTTGTCCACGTTCAGCCGGTCTGCCCAGGCTGCTGAGCTGGTAGATTCGCTGTACTTCTCTCGTCACGAAAGGGCTCAGCTCGTGAATGCAAAGCACTCTACATGTGCTAACGGCAAATTAACCCCAGATAAATAATCGGCAAAATATCTCCCGGCGCCGTGTGTATTTAGGCCTGTCTTTCTGAGTCTGTCTGGCTGGACCGTGAGCTGTGGGGCCCATGGTGAGTGCCGAGTCAAATTCAGCTGCTGATATCTTATCTATCTATCTATCTATCTGTCTGTCTGTCTGTCTGTCTGTCTCTTGTACTTCTATCTATCTATCTATCTATCTATATATCTATCTATCTATCTATCTATCTATCTGTCATCTTGACAACAATTACAGCAAATTTGAATTTCTTTTGAATTTCTGTTAAATTCCATTCTATTTCAGAATTTCTGTTTAATTAAATGAAATTTACAATTCAGTTCAATTTCGACCTCAATTGAGTTCACTTTTCAATCTTGGATCATCATTTACTCTCCCTCGTGTCATTCCAAACCCGCTTGCTGTCATTTTTTCCATGGAGTACAAAAGAAAGCTTAAATAATTTGCTGAGCTCTCATTTCCATTCATTTGCAGTAAAGGTGTTATTAAGCCTACCTGTCTGTCATGTGTAGTTCACCCATCCAGACAGTCATTACACGTTATAGATAACATTCCATCAACTCACAGCAAGCTATAAAAATATCTGCACAGAACGATTGCAGAGACTTGCTTACAGAAACTTGAACTCATCTGACCTGTAAATCAGTAAATCAAAAACTGTAAATCAGCTCGTGACAGATGTAGCAGATATAATTGCAGCACTTAAAAAAAAAAAAAAAAAAAACAGAAAGAAGAATGGAGGTTTAGAGGGGAAGTGGAGGAATTTAGGACAACATCTGTTTTCCAATCAACCTGCTGTTCTTTTTATATGGCATTCAAAGAAATTTTTTTTCCATCATACAATTCCAGTCAGTGTAAAACTGGCACAGCCCATTATTTTCCGACATGTGTTTTAGACCTCAGATCCATGTGTAAAGATGAAAAACTCATCCTGACACAAGCAAATCATCACGTCATCTGTATCGCTAATATGATATTACAGCTTTGACGCTGCGCTCGTCGACTGAATTGGGATTTCATGGTGATGTGTTTTGTTTTCAGAGTATTTCTACACCGTAGATTGAAGAATGATAAAGCACAGTTCATTTGTTTTTACTGCATGTTACAGTACATTGCAATTGTTTCCAGCATCAGTCATCAAACACTGTGAGCAAATAACACAGAAACGTTGATTTATGAGCTACAGTGGAACGTCCAAATGTCTCTTTATTTTGTAATTGCAGGGTTTCTGTTTTTATTGCTCTAGAACAATATTTATTGAACCACTGTGTGAAACATGTAAGACCAGAAATTATTTCTAGCCTAGTTTTTTTAATAAGATGTGTTACGTGGTTGTATATCATCACGTTTTTCTTTTTCTCACGGGCCTTTTAAGTCACACTGTTGTTGTTCAGTATTTTCATTGTGTCTTGATAGTAAACAGCTGTTACTGTGTATAGGCTGCTTAATGCTTATTTATTCAAGTTGGTTAAAGTAATAATATACTTGTTTCAAAAACTATGGTAGTGAGCTGCCCATGTAATCAACATTTTAAGGCATTGTATTTACGCTCCCAAACAGAAGTTGCATTAACTGTTTTTTTTTTTTTGGGTCATTTACTAATTCAAAATGCAGATAAAAATTTAGATGCCTGCAGATGTAAATTGTTACAGGGGTTTTGACCAGATTTGACCAGTTGAAGCCTTCTAAATGTTGCATATTTTAATATATAATTCATATAGTTTTCTTTAACAGTGCAATGCGATAATTGCAAGAGATGCATATCGCAAAAATCACACAAACTGAAAAATGTGACCTGCCATATGCTCATACAATCAATGCTCATTTCCTGTTGTTATTCCATGTAAACGTACCTCTACTGGACCAAACTGCTCTCTTGTCGTCCTAAACACAGTTTTGTGCCGTTTTTTTTCTTTTTTAACACAAGCATCTGGGCTGAATTTCATTCTCTGGTTATTGATTTCACTTACGGTGGTCAGAGGCTAAGTGAGGTTGTCTGGGTTTCGTCCAGTGTCAGACACAAACCAGGTGCTTTCACAGGAACACTAGAAAGGGGATAGTCTGTGATGTGACGTAGACTTTCTGATGTGGCATCACTCAGTGACAGAGATTCTGACTCATAGGACATGTGTTTGCTGTCAGTTTGTACAAAAAGCAGTTGTGCTATCATATAGAGTTTTATATTTTCTGAAGACATTCAGACTGTTGATTGAATGTCATGAAGTTACAGTGTTGTGGGTGGTTGCCAGGGCATTTCTATGTGGTTGCTAGCCTGTTCTAATGTGTTTTGCATGTTGGTTATGGGGTTGATGGATGTTTTTTTTTTTTACAGAAACATATTAATCAGAATATTTATTTATTTATAAAGATGAAATATAATGTAATTGTTTGGGACTTATGTTATATAATTGCTTTGAGGATTTATTTATTTGTTTGTTCTTTCAAAACTATCCAGATAACAACAAAAAATTATAATTATAATAGTATTTATAAATTATAATAATTATCAGAATATATTATGCATAAAATATAAAATATTATATCCTATATATAGAAAGAGAGAGAGAGATTTATAGATATATATTCATATATCACAATTCACATTTTTTTAAACAAAAATCAGCAAAATTCAATAATAATGTTCAATACTTCACAAAACCAAATGTTAAATATGAAATGAATGGCATATCTGTGTCCTTTATGGCACTGCTTTTTCCTCTCTGAAAAAGTTATTGCAAGAAATCTGTTGTTATTCCTCAGGACAGGTGGGTGACTGAAATTGGCATAAAAACACAACCACAATTAAAAACCTCTCAGTTATGAGGAGGCCAAAAGTAAGCTAAAACTGACAGCGATTAGCAGCAGCGACCGATCTCCAGTCAGTGTGAATGAGCTTCAGGCATTAAAGTGTCAGATTTTGTGGTTTCCTGTCTATCCGTTATTTTCTCACTCTGTGCTTTGCTCTCTCCACAGGAATCGCTTATCTGGGCGGCACCTGTAGCTCCAGGAGGAAGTGTGTGCTGGCGGAGGACAACGGACTCAACCTGGCCTTCACCATCGCTCATGAGCTGGGCCACAAGTTAGTCCAAACACCATAGAAATCTGATTTAGAGGCCCTTGTGATTGTCTGGTGCAAGACAGTTTTGCTCCATTATCAGCTCTGATTGGACGCAATTAAATATGCAACTAGTTTTTGAGATGCTCTGTGGTACTTAAGTGGAGACGAGCTTAAAGGGGTCATATGACGTTGCTAAAAAGAACATTAAATTGTGTATTTGGTGTAATGCAATGTGTTTATGCGGTTTAAGGTTAAAAAAATATTTATAAATTATAATAATTATCAGAATATATTATGCATAAAATATAAAATATTATATCCTATAGTATTTAATTATTTAGGTTTCAATATGTTTATCATTTTTGTAAATCACCAGAGAGCATGTGGGAAACGGGCAAAGGCAGTCGTTCATAACAACTCGTGTTATTTTAGTATAATTTATATACTATTATAGTTTTTGTTAATATTTCGAATTTTGACTCGCGTTTGAATCATCAGTGGCAAATTCTTTAAATATAAATAATTTACTTACAGTCTGTGAGTCAGAACAGCGGGCATTGTAGGCTACTCTGCAGGTTCAGGAAACAGTCTGGATGTAAAATGCGCTGCACACATCTGAATATTTGGGTTGAACTGTTCTGGAACAGTGTTGTAAATACAACTTAACCACTGATTTCTAGTCGTGTCCATTTTTGGAAGGCCAAACAAAGTAGTTTCGCTTTCACCGTGTTTAAACGAGGCGTTTTAGGAGGGCGTGGATGAGTCTTAACTTTTATAAAGAATATCTCTTTGGGTTTGAGACTTTAGTCTTTGCAACTTTAGGGATCTTATCTATGCACGAACAGCTTGTAACACTCCAAAGAGAAAGGAAAATTTGAAATTGCATCATATGACCCCTTTAATGTAATGTTTTTCTTGTGTTTGGGATCCCAGAAACGTCAATAATGACCGTCAAAAGTAATCACTGATTTGACCAAATCAAATCCCAGTAGGCAGAGTATTGACTATTTACTTTAACTATTTTGCTTTAACTATTTGTTTTAACTAATCGGTTTTGTTCCAATATAGTAATCCAATATAGTAAAACTGAAGTTTGGCGGTTTCACGGTTTCCTCAAAAATATGAAACAGATATGAATATGAAACTGTTTTCTTTCATTTCTGTCTTTCACCTTTATTTATAAAGCGCTTTTATCAATACAAATTGTGTCAAAGCAACTGTACAGCATTAATTAGGAAAATAGTGTCAATAATGCAAAAGTACAATAGTAAACACTCAATTTTCAGTTAAAGGCAGTTCATCATTGAATTCAGTGATGTCATCATCCAGCTCAGTTCAGTTTAAATAGTATCCGTGCAATCAAGTCGACGATATTGCTGGAAATTAAATTGGTTTTCTACATTGATAATAGTCAGAAATGTTTCTTGAGCAGCAAATCAGCATATTAGAATGATTTCTGAAGGATCATGTGACACTGAAGACTGGAGTAATGATGTTGAAAATTCAGCTTTGCATCGCAGGAATAAATTACATTTTAACATATATTCAAATAGAAAACACTTATTTTAAATTGTAATAACATTTCACAATATTACTGATTTTACTGTATTTATAATCAAATAAATGGTGAGCATAAGAGACTTCTTTCAGAATCATTAAAAAAACCTTAATGATGCCAAACTATTGAGTGGTAGTATATATTCTTTAGATATTGAAAGCACCCCAAACAGAATGTGATAAAGAGATAGGGATAGTTCACCTGAAAATGAAAATAGGTATCATTTACTCACCCGTATGTACTTTCAAACCAGTATGACTTACAATCTTTTGTATAACACAAATTCACACAGTTCATACAATGAACACATATTTTAACTAATAAGTTAGTCATACAGGTCTTAAATGATAACAAAATCTCCATTTTTGTGTGAACTATCCCTTTAACGTTTCATTTGTGTTCACACGGGCCAGGACATTTTTAGGTTAAGGCCCACAGCATTTGCTGATTTGGTCAGACAAGTAGATGTACGGTGGCCGAGAAGTGCAAAACAAATCACAATTCTGAAAACAAAATAACAATTCAGAAAGCACAACAACAATTCAGAAAACATTATAACAAGTCAGAAAACACAATGACAAATTCGAAAACACGGAAGAGGTAGGTATAGTTTGAGACAGTGCCATTGGTTTGGGATTACTCACCACTAGCAATATGCTATTTACACTAAGTGCAAGCAACAAGTAGTATACTTGATAGTAGAAATCCTGCTATTTTAACATAGTGTAAATAGGTATTTGCACTTAGTGTAAATAGCATATTGCTAAAAATACTGCTATTTTCACTTAGTGTAAATAGAATCCATTGCTAATACGAGATTTGAAAAGGGAGGAAAAAAAAGTTCGGCAAAAGGCGGCATCGAACCCGGGTCGATCGCGACAAAAAGCCAATGACACGGACTTATCCATCTGCGCCACTGGAGCTGATGATTTACAGCCACTTTGTTTTCGAATTTGTCATTGTGTTTTCTGACTTGTTATAATGTTTTCTGAATTGTTGTTGTGTTTTCTAGACTTGCATTTGCGTTTGTAATTTGTTATTTCGTTTTCAGAATTGTGATTTGTTTTGCACTTCTCGGCCACCGTATAGATGTATGCAATCTCAGCTATGCTCACCAAAACCACCCAAGCACCCAACCAGATCTCCATCCATGATCAGACTCAACTTCAGACTTGTAAATATCTAGTTTGTAATCTAAATTGGTTATTTAAACCATGCATTGCGCTCTGTTGGTTTTTCTAAATATCCACCTCTGCTCTTTTAACAACAGGTTGCTTGCATACGTCCCTCTACATCAGGTTTCTCTCGTTAAATGAGCGGTTGAGACCCCGAACACACTTCCATCCTCACCATGTGCTTTGGAAAACCTAGACGTACTTGAAAGAGAACATGCTGTAAATGAACATTTCGCGTTCACACATCATTCACATGAGTTATAGGATTGAACCGAATGCCACGACGACGTATTACCTGCTCTGCCCGAACAAAAACACGCTTCTCACAATAGCTCCCCTTCATCTCCTCGCTAGCATAAAGCCCTCTTTGATAGATCAATGATGGGCAGCCAACACCAAAATTTGTCTGGAAAAATGGCCAAGCTACATTAGCGTAAGCGCCAGTCTTCAGATGAGTTATCGCCGTACCTGCTCCAGTATAGTGTGCCGCCACGGGCCAAAGTCGGCTTTAATGCCCGGCAGTAATGAGCTGGCACCGATCACGCCCGACTGGTGCCGATACTGCTATCCCAGTCATCACACGCACACAGGGCTCCATTGTCTCCAGTCTGTAAAAACACTATTAAAGCGAGTGCGTTATGGGTTTATGTGCACGTTTAGGTCTTTACAATATAAGCTGTAGCAAGACATGTCAATATGATTATTTTATAGAGTCGCTAGTGTTGAATATTTCTGTCAGCGTGGCATTTACAGGCTCTAATAAACACATGCAACAGCATCGCGCTTTCTGATGGATTGAGATTTCTCTGAGTAGCGAGCAGAGTTTCTCATCTTTCATCTGCTCACGACCTTTTGATTTGGCGTGCGGGCGTAACAAAGCTTAATGACTGTCTGGGAGTCTTGTTTTAGCGCCGCTCCATTCGTCTCGCTTTATCAAGTGTAGACGCTGATCGTTTTCCAATAATAACAGCTGAAGGAGCACGATCACGGCGCTCGAGGAACATTGGCGTAACACTAATGTGGGGTTTGCCGCATGCATCGACTCATTCTAGATAAAAAAAAAACTCCGTATGGAAGCAGCGTGTCACGTCATATTTCAGTCCACCCACAATACCTCATTAGTGTCATCATTGCTTATTCGATCATTAGTCAAAGCGCCTTTCAGAATAAAGATAAATGGGTGTCTGTTTAATGAATGGATGGAGTAATTGGTGCTTGCAGGTGAGTTTGGAAAATTACACAATGTGAATGACACTGTTCAAAAGTTTGGAGCTGGTAAGATTTTAAATGAAGTCTCTTGTGCTCACAAAGGCTGCATTTATTTGATCAAAAATGCAGTAATATTGTGAAAAAAATATTGCAATCTAAAATAACTGCTTTCTATGTGAATATACAGTGGGTACGGAAAGTATTCAGACCCCCTTAAATTTTTCACTCTTTGTTATATTGCAGCCATTTGCTAAAATCATTTAGATTTATTCCTGTGATCAAAGCTGATTTTTTAGCATCATTACTCATCAGTCTTCAGTGTCACATGATCATTCAGAAATCATTCTAATATGCTGATTTGCTGCTCAAGAAACATTTTTTTATCCCTATTGAAGTTAAAAACTGTTGTGCTGTTTAATATTTTTTGTTGATACATTTTTATTTTCAGAATTCTATTATGAATAGAATAGAAGTTCAAAAGCAGAGCTTTTATTTTTTTTACATTATATTCTTTTGTAAAACAAAATTGTCCTTTTAGAGCTGCAGATAAATCACTTCTTTGAACTTTTTACTTGCAACCAGTGAGCGATTGTTCAGTATTTGTTTCCATCATAGTTTAATTAGCCACTTAGGGCCAGACTTACTAAACAGGGAAAATTTGCGTTAATGCGCAATTCCGTAAATGCGCCGATGGGAGGGGAAAATTCTGCGGGTGATTTACTGACAATGCGCACATTAAAGAACACAGATGCAGCCAGATCATTTCCATAATGACCATCGCAATCTACCAAGAGCAGCGCAAATTACCACCTGCTATAAGACATGGTTTTTTTGAGTGTTAAATAATGGTGCAAATACCTGTAATTTGACGAGCGCAAACGTTAAATCGCATTGCGTGATTCATTTTAATACTCTCCTCCCATAAATTTTGCATCTGAAAGGGAAACTTTTACAAATGTGTCCACGCCTTTTCATCGCAAATTCGTCACTGCGCATCTTTATTAAATCCTGACAGTACTATTTTTTTTTAACACCATAAATGGTTTGCGCTGGCGCAAGCTGTTAGTAAATATGGCCCTTATTGTAAGTATATAAATTTTTTATGCACAATTTAGGAATTTTAGAAAGTTTCCATGCAGCGTTTTTATGCAATTTCGCAAAATTTGCACATTAATACATGGATGCAAATCCAGCTATTGTTGACACATGTAATGTGGGGTTTGGGTTTTGTTTTTGTTTCATGTTCATGTCCATGTCTTTTATTTTGTAATTGTTTCCTGATGTTAGTGTCATGCTTCCCTTGCCTCATGTCTCTCTGCCTTGTGTATGTGTCATGTTCTGATTGGTTGTTTTAGTCATGTGTCTTGTTTCCCATTGGTTTGTTCTTGTCATGTGACCCTCTTGTCTGCTATAAGTTGCCCTCATGTTGCCATTGTCTCTCGTCGTGTATTGAATGTATTTATCCCGCTGTTGGTGAGTCTAGCCTGTTCATGTCAAGTCTGTTCATCCCTCGTCAAGTCAAGTCTGTTCATGCCTCGTCAAGTCAAGTCTGTTCATGTCAAGTCAAGTCTCGGATTATTGTTTGGATGTTTGGATCACACTGTAAATAAACTGCACTTGGGTTCTTCACTACGCTTGCCTTCAGTGGATTGAAGTCGTTACAACACAGTGGAAAAAGGATGGTACAGTTGTTAACGTGAGCAATTTGAAACAGGTTTGTGGCTTTTTGGTGGTTTTTGCTGTTACTTTTGCTCATATGTAGAGTTAGAGGCATGAAACAAACCACTAAAACTAAGGATATTATCATTTGGTGAGAAGCTTTTACAGTTTATAGACATCAGTGATTCCTTAATTGTAGCTAATGCAATATGCAATTACATTTTCTAAGCAATACTGCAAATTTTGACTACTTTTTGTCAGTAATAAACTACCTTGAAGTTCATAGCAATATGCTAACAACACCTTGTTGGACCTTTAGATTACCAGCCCATATCTGTAAGTCTCTATTGGTCATGCATGATGCCTTCCCTTCCAAGTCTTTTAAGTCCTGTGCACGCTTGATAGGGTATTTGGCTTGTGAAAGCACTTGACCATTATTAGCTTGGCAGCAAAACGTCCTGTTTTAATAAGGCCAATCGTGTTTTTTTTTTTTTTTCCTCCCTTAAACAAATTGAACACAACAGACATTTGGCACCCTTATAAACCTCCCACGATTGTTTGAGTGTGAGAGAGATTCTCATCTCAATCCACTTATTAACCAAATCACCCCATTGATATTAAAAGCCACTCATCTGTGTAAGAGCTGAAAAGAAAGCGACGATGAAGCTGCTGTAGCATTCACATTCTTCTCCTTGTTCCTTTAGTTCTCCGCAGCGACTCCTTGATTTCTATTGTGTTCGTTGTGTGTCTTTCGACTTTTATTGCTTTGGTGTTTAGCGGGAGCCGAGACACAGCCTAGAAATCCACACTGCTCTCTTTATTAGTTCCTGCGCTCGCTGCCGCCGCTTCAGTTTTCGGTTGTTGTTTTTAATTTGAGAAATGTAGGTCAGGGCTTAGGAGAAAGCACTGTTACGGCTCGCTCTGACTCAGGTTGCTTTGGTTTTCATGAGAACACATGCTCTGTTTCAGAGTAATATTGTATTGTTATGCATTCAAGGAAAGCTTCGTAAACGTTGTGTTAATGATTATGTTTAACAAGCACAATAACTATTTATTGTGCACTAAGTTTGCCTGGGTGAGACTCATATTTTGTCAGATCGCTGCTGTTATTAGTGTTTGTTGTTTCTGATGGTCTTGTCTCTCTAGCATGGGCATGAGCCATGATGACGATCACGCCAGCTGCGCGGGCCACTCTCACATCATGTCCGGGGAATGGGTCAAAGGTCGTAACCCCAGTGACCTCTCCTGGTCCAGCTGCAGTCATGACGACCTGGAGAAGTTCCTCAGGTGAGATTTTGTGCCATAAGATACTGTTTTTAGGTGTTATCAGTAGCTTAGGTGATAGTAGGTGCTATTGCCTGTTAAGTTTTCAATAGCCAATACTGATATCTAGACAGTGGGAAGTATTTTTAAATGATTTTCTGGAAAATATATTTACAAATATATATATATATGTAGAGAGAGAGAATATAATGTAATTTAGCAATATTGCAATATTGTATTTGATCAATTAGAATTAATTAAATGTAATTATAGCAAATAAGAAATTAAACTACAGTGACATTTTAAGAAAAAAATCTGTATCCAAAATATTTTTCTATAATTAAAATAATGTGTAAATTACATTTGTTTATTAATATGTAATACAATATAGTATTTAATATAATTTTATAATAATTGTAATACACTCTCATTTAAATAATTTTCAGTATTTTGGTTTAACTATTAAAAAAAATTGTGCATACATGAAAATCTCTTTTTTTATATATAATGTACATACATTATAAGATTAGAAAATAATATATTTAAATTATATTACATAATATATTAAAGGGGCCATCGGATGCAACATGCACTTTTACAAGTTGTTTGAACTGATATGTGTGTTGGCAGTGTGTGCACACAACCACCCTATAATGATAAAGAACCACCCAGTGGGTTATTTTTTATCTCGTTAAATCATTTCCCCTTTCTCAAATCAAGCCATTCTCAGCTTCTTGTCTGTGTGACGTCAAACAGACTCAGGCCCCTCCCACGATTGTTGATTGACACTGGCGTTTTACCTTAGAGCCGCCCTGAGTGAGCTGTCATCAGTCCGTCATTGTTTTGACACCGGAGCAGATGTAGACAATAATGATTCCTAAGCGATTGAGGTGTTTTGTTGTTGGATGTAATAATGAACATAGCAGTCGTCATTTACTCCCGACATCTGAGCCGCTGAAGTGGATTACCTTTGTTTCTGAAGGGAATGCGCCCCTGATCTACCTAAATGTGTCTACGTTCGTGCGAATCATTCGTGATCCAGCCTCACCTACAGAAGAAGTGAGTATAAGGTTCTTTTATGAATCTTTGCAAATCGCCTTTCCTAATAACGTGCTAGTTAGCAAGTTCCACGGGTAAAGTAAACAGTATCATGAGAATGGCTCGTCACCCCACAGAAGAGAGGGGTGGGGTCAGCAGAGCTCATTAGCATTTAAAGGAATATGGACTAAAACGGGTTGCTGAAAACAGAGCTGATTTTGACATGGTAAAAAGGGTGTTGTTTTACACTACAATTGAGAAATTTTAACCAAAGTATTATAGTTATATACTTTTCATTAAAGGGGGCATAACACACACAGTTTCACCCAATCTCATGTTAATCTTGAGTACCTATAGAGTAGTACCGCATCCTTCATATCTCCAAAAAGTCTTTAGTTTTATCATATTTATAAAAGAAAGATACAGCTTTACGATTCTCTCCGGAAAAAGCAGAGCTCCTGGAGGCGCGGCCGCCACCAGATGAAACGCGTTGATGGGCGCGATCTCGCTCTCACTCTGGTCGATGCGTGTGCGCTCTTCTGGGAGAAATGCCCATATAAGGAGTTCCACCCTCGTCTACGTCATGAAGAGCCACGATCGAAAAAAACTCTCAGAAACTTGTACGAACCCGGAAGTATGATTTTTGTCACAGAAATACTCCGTCATACGTCCAAATTGTTTTTTGAAACTTTGTCCATGCTTAGCATGAGAATCCAACTCTTTAACAGTGTAAACAACTCTGAATGCATGAAACAGCATTGAGCTAATCAAGGTCTTGCTTGGTATACGTCAGTGTTTCTCAACCCTGGGGCCCGTTCTTCGTACGTCGCTAACTCAGTTAGCTGGATTTGATTGTTGACAATTTGGCATGATCTTGGATAGTTTGGTTCTTCGAAGCACATTCCGGAGTTGCTGTCATAGCAACAGGTCCGTAAGCTTAAACCTGCTCGGGAGCAGGCTTATTTCATGTAATTTAAAATAATAATCATTTAAAAATAAATTTAAAGATAATATAATATAATAATGTTGTGTAGTCTTTAATACTGTAATGAGGATTCAGTGACGTTGGGATCCTTTCGGCTGGTGGTGGATCGGTGGCTTGGGCCTCTGTGATCTACGTCATGATATCCCATTGTATGGGAGCGAGAACCAGGGTAGAAGGGATGATGGATTCACAGGAGGGTGGTTGCAAGGATGACTCATAAAGTCTTGACAGAGCGTCGGTAATGAGACGCTGGAGAACAGAACGAACATGCTTGACGTGATCCTTGTAGGAGTCTGAGTAGATCAAGAAATCATCTATATATACGATGACCCAACGATTTAGCATGTCTCGGAACCAGAGCATGTGAGCGAAGCGGAGCGGTGTGACGCTCCGCTACGTTTTCCGCTTTATGGACGTGCGCTCCACTCAGTCGCTCTAACCGCCCAAGCAAGCGCTCCGTTAATATTCTCAGAAATGTCAGCAATAGCAAAAACAAGACTTCGCAACGAGGGTAAGGTAGGCACTGATTAAATAGTCATGATAATGATAAGCACCTGTGCAGGTAATCAGTCTCAGGCATGGGGTGATGGGAAATGAAGTCCTTAAGAACAGTTTGTACTCCGGTGACGGTTCCCTCTGGTGGTGATTGGAGGGAGCCACAGAGGCTTGATTTGTGACAAATACTACAGACACAGCCAGTTTTACTCACTGAGAGATTTATTCGTCATAAAATTATTATCCTTGAGGAAGGTGTACAAACAGTGCGGCATTTGAATAGAAGAGAGTTCATTCTGGAAGCCCAGGCTTAATAGTGTCTGCTGTGGCTCTATAAACAAAGAACCGGCTGGAGTCATCGATCCTCACGGATGTACTGCAGCCGATGACAGAATAAAGCTGCAGGATCCACTGTCTGATGTGCCCGCCGCGCTTCTGACCTCAATTCAGGCTACAGAGTGTCAACGTATCCAAGCAGATACCAGCACTATCCAAACTCTGCTGTTGAGCTTCTGAGAGCATTTTAATGCTAGAGACAATTAGGCAGATTAGCGTTTTCTCCTGTAGAGTAAAGCTCTGCACTACGATAACACGACAGCATGGCTCTGCTCCAAAACCTGGTGAGCTGCCTATGTAGGCGTCATACTGTAGGTGCACACTACATGAAGGCTGTTCCAAAAGGTAGGCAGCAAAATTATGCTGCCTTATTTTGATCACATTTTGGAGCAGCATCACATGTATTCATCCTGCAGAAGGCAATACCATAATTATTGTGAATTCACACATGCCTGTTGTTACTTGTACATAAACATACATAGACAGCCCATTTAGTGTGTAGCTGTCAGGGTTTGGGCAAAGGGATAGAGCGAGGACTCAATGGTGCAGGAGATGGCCTTTTGTTAAAAAAAATTAAACAAAAACTACCCCGTGGGGAAAAACACAACTGGCAACAAGACAAGGCTTGGCAAGGCAGGGCAGGGCAGGGCACACTCAACATTCAACGACGAACTGCCCGGGACTGCAAACACAAAGAGAATAAATAGGGAGCAAATGAGGAGGGTAATGAAGGAAACACAGGTGGGGCAAATTAACCAATAATCAGGTAACAAGATGGGTGGGGTCAAGACAATTGACATGAGAGCACATGGCACACAGGAAACAAAGACCAAAGCCATGTGCTCACACAAAACAAAAACACAAGCATATGGCCAGCAAAACAAAATCACCAGCCATGTGCAAAACAAGACATGAACACGCAGCTAATGAGAATACTCATAAGCCGCGTGTTCACACAAGACATCACAACATGAAAGCACGCAGCCAATGAAAAACACAAGCTGCGTGCTACACAGCACAAGACATAACATGAATGCACGCAGCTGATAAAAACATGAACTGCGTGCAACAACACAAGACACCACAACTTACTTATCAAGTTGCATATTTAGTAGGGATGCACCGATACCACTTTTTCCAGTACTCGCCCGATACCGATACTTTTATTTTTGGTACTTGCCGATACCGAGTACCGATACCAATAGTTTTATTGCATTTGTACATTCTCACTTACATAAATGAACTATAGTGTCCTGCATCCACTAAAAAAAATATCAAAAATTATATCTGGTCTCTGAATCATTTTTGGTTTGACTGCGTATACGTCCTTAATCTCTAATAACTCCATTCTGCTGTCTGTTGTTCTGTTGTCAGTGTTTCTTTGTCTGAATATGGCACTTATCACATGTTGTGTGGTATCGGCGTTTGGTATCGGGGCATTTTAACGAGTACGAGTACAGGAGCTCAGTATCGGGCCCGATACCGATACCAGTATTGGTGCATCCCTAATATTTAGTCTGCCATATGTAATAGGTATTGTCAGTGTTTCTTTTAATGAAATTCCCATTGATTAAAAATTCACAATCATTTTATTTTATTTTATTTTAAATTTGTTTGTATTTTATGATGTGACAGTATAAATCAAGAATTAGTAAATCAAGTTGCACATTTAGTCTGTCATATTTTACAGGCATTGTCGGTGTTTCTTTTATTAAATTCCCATTGATTAAATTCACAATTATTTTATTTTATTTTTAAATTTGTTTAATTTTATTTTACATTTGTTTAATTTTATTTTATCATGTGACTGTATGAATCAAGAATTACTAAATCAAGTTGCACATTTAGTCTGCCATATGTAATAGGTATTGTCAGTGTTTCTTTTAATTAAATTCTCGTTGATAAAAAATTCACAATAATTTTATTTTATTTTATTTTAAATTTGCTTAATTTTATTTTACATTTGTTTATTTTTATTTTATCATGTGACCGTATAAATCAAGAATTAATAAATCAAGTTGCACATTTAGTCTGTCATATTTTACAGGCATTGTCAGTGTTTCTTTTAATTAAATTCCCATTGATTAAATTCACAATTTTATTTTATTTTTAAATTTGTTTAATTTGATTTTACATTTGTTTAATTTTATTTTATCATGTGACTGTATGAATCAAGAATTACTAAATCAAGTTGCACATTTAGTCTGCCATATGTAATAGGTATTGTCAGTGTTTCTTTTAATTAAATTCTCGTTGATAAAAAATTCACAATAATTTTATTTTATTTTATTTTAAATTTGCTTAATTTTATTTTACATTTGTTTATTTTTATTTTATCATGTGACCGTATAAATCAAGAATTAATAAATCAAGTTGCACATTTAGTCTGTCATATTTTACAGGCATTGTCAGTGTTTCTTTTAATTAAATTCCCATTGATTAAATTCACAATAATTTTATTTTATTTTACTAACTCACATTTAAAAATAAATTTACAGTTTCTTTTTGAATATTTTGTTTGTTTATTCATTTATATAACTTTTTGTTTTTTATTTTTATTGTTTTTTTATTTCACAATGACAGTGACAATTTGAATCAAGAATTAGTAAATCAAGTTAAACCTTTAGTCTGTAATATTTTATAGGTGCAGTCAGCATTTCTTCTAATTAAACTCCCATTGATTAATTTCACCCTGTTTATTTTATTTTATTCTATTCAATTCAAAACAACAATTTCCTTTTGAATATATTTATTTATTTATGAATTCATTTACATTCCTTACATACCATAACACATTGGGGTTTTTTTTCTTAAGCACATTGTTTTTTCTCTCTCACACAGGTCATGCCTGCCTGATTAATTTAGGATGAGCTAAAATATTAAATATTTACAGAGAGCAGACGTGCTTGAGAATCCTGAAGTGTATGTGCTCATTAGGCTTTAAGGCATCAACGTCAAACTTTCCAAAATATTTCTCCTTTGCACTCCTTGAATAGGAGTTTGGGAACCACTCTTGGTTTTGCAGAAGTCTGTTCTGCTACAGCTGTCTGTGTTTGTCTAATCTTACACTTATAGAAAGATGAGAAAGTAGACTTGGAGAAAGAGGAATTTTACTTAGAGCAAATGAATCAGCAATGGAAAGCCAGTATTAGAAGCACAGCAATTCCTAATTTCTTTTATAGGAAAGTCTGCAATTCCTCCAGTTGTGTGTGAAGATGTTATGCACATCATTTCTCTAACATCCTACTGTCTCCCAGATCGAAAGCAAGTGCCTGTTTGCTGCATACTGACCCACGTAACCGCTACCTCATCCGTCTGCCGGCCAAACTTCCCGGGATGCACTACAGCGCTGACGAACAGTGCCAGATCCTCTTCGGCACCAACGCTACGTTCTGCACTGATATGGAGGTGTGTGTGTCTTTCAGCTGGGAATGCACTGATATCATACTGCACTCATGCACTACATGCTTCCATACCGTAAATGGACACAATGCAGCATACATACACACAAATAAACACCGGCAACATGCAACTCAAACTTTCTGACCTAAACAAGATTATATATTTGGCAGAATCCTGTTGCAGTTGCTTTAGGTTCTGGGATCATTCCTATATGTAACTAGTTGAAGTATAAATGTATCCAGGCTACATTATAGCAGGTGAATAATATAAAGGGTTTCACGCTTATCTGCACAAAGCCTCCTCGTACATATTGCATAAAAAATATGAAATAAATTAATCTTTATAAAATAAATTGAAATGTATACATTTTAATTAATATGATACTATACATATTATATGCTTAATTTAAATGGTACCTAAATAAAAGTCATAAATTAAGATATAAAATATATACATTAAAATACATTTATTTTGATATGAATATTTTTATTTGGTCTTTGTAATATGGTCACAATATTAAATGTGACTTTATAATTGTGGTATAATCATTTATGTAATACATGTAAATGTTTTTCTGTTGTTAAACAGCAAATATTTAAGCGTGAGTCTCAGAAAAATTATTTTAATAAATTGCACATTGATAAAATTCACAAATTTCTTTTCTTTTCTTTATTCACATAAAAGCACAATTAAATTCACATTTTTTCTTTTACATTTATTTATTTATACATTTTAATTTGTTATAAAATATATCATTAATTAAATTAAATTAAAACAAAATCCATTTTGTCTTCATCATTTGATTTGGTTTGATTCACATGAAGTCGCAATTAAATTCACTTTTTTACTTTTAAATGAATGTATTAATTTATTTATACATTTTAATTTGTTATAAAATATATCCATTTTAAATTTGAAAAATTCATTTTGTCTTCATCATTTCATTTGATTTTTAAAAATGAGTTTTGACTTGATTTTAGTTTAGTTTAGTTTAGTTTAGTTCAGTGTTGTCTTGGCCCTAGGATCATTCCCATATGAAGCTAGTGGAAGTATAAAATTATCCAGGCTACATTTGTAGCAGGTGAATAACATAAAAGAGTATCTGCGCTTAATCATAAATCATGTTTGTCCACGCAAAGCCTCAGATCTCTGGATATTTCCGTCTGGAAGTTTCAGTTCACAAGTTGCCAGAGTGAAAACATTAGAGCGGATGGCAGGTGCTGGCGTATCAGGTTTGATCTGATCAGTTCACAGTCAGTTCATGCTTTCCTGAGCGTGTAATCATCAGCTGTAACCGTTCAGATCATCGCTGCAAACATTTCCACTCGCTGCCCGTCCATCATAACTGTATACCATCTACACGTTGTGCAGTGCTACAGCAGATACCTAGATTCACATAAAACATGCGCGAAGAAGATGAATAGTCTGTTGCTGGCAGGCTGAGAGGAGCTGACATAAAAGAGACGTCTAAAACAAAGTGTAAATAAGGCAATTTAATGGCCGTCCTGCCACCTTTGAAATGTTTCTCTCTGTGAGATTGAAAAATGTGATTGAGCACAAGAAGTAAAGGAGCGTGTCTGGCTAAAGTAAAAATACGAACTTGTCAGACAGACACGGAAAATACAGCCCATCTCAAGGGCTGTTGGATAAAAAAGTCTCTTTGTTTGAGGAGAGGAAAGAAAAGGCTGTGGTTACATGAAATGTACAAGCTTATTATTTTTTTTAAATTTTGAGATAATAAAGAGATTTAAAGGGGTCATATGATGCAATTTAATTTTTTCCTTTCTCTTTGGAGTGTTACAAGCTCTTGGTGCATAAAGAAGATCTGTAAAGTTGCAAAGACTAAAGTCTCAAATCCAAAGAGATATTCTTTATAAAAGTTAAGAGTCAGCCACACCTACCTAAAACGGCTCGTTCGAACACGCCCCCACATATCTACCTCACTATGTGGGAAGATTTGCATAACGCCGCCCAAATGTTCACACAAAGAAAGAAGGCGTAACTTTTATTCACGCTGTAGTATTGTTGTTGCCGCCGCCATGTCGTGAAGGCGCTGTGTGCTTCGTTGTGAAAGCGAAACTACTTCGTTTAGTCTTCCAAAAGAGGACGATATCCGCTCACTCAAGCCGGCCTCCGCTCACTCTAG